AAACATGTTTGTAAGGATTGCTGAAAATTCTCAGTAGAATCGAGGGAAATATATGACACTAACAAGAATTGACAAATTGATCGATAGGACATATTCATCGGAAGATGAGATTGCTTGTTTGAAAATTTTGGAGCACGTATCGTTTAAGGTTGCAATTATTTTACTTATAGATTGCTAAATGTCATATTTTAATAATACACTAATAACACTGCCTTGACATCGAGGAGGCAACAAATTGGCCATAATCAACCACTGTTATCTCTGCAAATAATTACCACGATTATAGCAAAAAAATCCTCCGTTGAATTGCGCGGTATTTGGAATGGTATGTATAAGGCAAGGTGATGTATCTGAAGATAATGGTAAAGGTGCCGATAAAGTTTCACTAATTAATAATTTGCAGATGGCCATTATTATGGTAATTTGAATCAAATGGTCGCCTTTTGGCATGCTAAATAATGCATTCGCATTTTAAATTCCTCAAAGTTACAATTTGTGCATTTATTTTTAGTGTCAAGTCTTAAAATCGAAGTAAACAAGATCGAATTTAACGCAACAACAAATTTCACAGTTTGGACCAAACTAAATCAAATAGTATCGGGACATCTTGATGCACTTAGGAGTTGTTATACATAGCAGCCGGTTAGATAAATCTAGAAAATGACCAAACAAATTCGCCCACTGTTAACGGACATAAGGATTCGCAAATGCCGCCAAACATTTCCTTATCATTTATGTTATGACAATGGGCAGCATTATTTTCCCCTGACGACCGGAGTTGCTGCAGATCGCACCTGCATAAAATAGCATGTTTTGTGCGACAGTGAAAACGGGAGGGCCTTCTTTATGCCAAGTTCCCAAATAAGGTAATAGAGAGGTGAACTTTGGAAAGAGGTCTTTGGTGAAGATAGTGTGCTTATTGCTGGTACGGCGTGTGTCTATATGTTTTCTAGCAGGACTCGGGCCCTAGCATGTCTTTCGCCCTTGTGGATTTGCGTAATACTTATGCTGTTCTAATGGGCCTTTCAGGGAGGAGACAAGGTTGTAATTCAAATCTGATGACAGGGTCGTCGACTCTCGTGCCTAAGTGCAATTGCGCTTTTCCCTTCCCTAAACTTTGTATTTGTTCTCCTGATTAATATCCCTTCAAAAAATATGTCGAAATAAAATCCACTGGTTTGTTCTAAGCGCACTAGGAACAGAGAAGAGGAGAGCTGTGAGACTCGCCATGCATTTGTTCAAGTCGAAATGACCTTAACCT